CTGTTTGGACATCCTTCTGATCAGGGACTTTTGGACGCTCGGATCCTTCTCACATTTTCAAAGCTTCGACAGTCAGAGGAATGGGGCCTGTCAGCGTCGCGAATCTTGTCTGGATTGTGCTCTCAGGTCGCGTCTCATGCTGTGTTTGGTGTTTGTCTTCGTGAACGCGGAAATAGCATATCAACAACAAGTGTAGCGATGAAATGGAAACGCGTCAGCACCAATTTCAGTGCTAGATACAACACATGCGAAAAGAAATGAACTTAATCCGCGCTAGGGATTCCAGACCCCAAAATCAAAAAGCAATTCATGCTGAGCACTATAAGTTTTAAGCGGTTTTGAACTGATTGTACTTATAATAGATGGCCTTCAATGCGATTTTACTTCATTTTGATACAGTTTAAAACTTGGTTTTAGTGGATTCTAACAGGTTTTGATTGGAAAGTGAATTGACGTTCATCAGATTTTGATAGATGCTCATTAAGTTTCATTTGTTCTGATTAGGTTTTGATAGCTTTTAGATAGATATTCATTTGACTTTGAACGGTTGTAATTAGGTTTAACTCATTTCGAAGAGGTGTTTCTTGATTTCAAGTGGAAAAATGATTTCTTGATTTTGAGTGGAAAAAGGATGTACAACTGATGACCTTGAAAACCTTTGCTATCATTCCAGGGGGTCTTCCATTGATGGTCCGTAAGGGGTAGCTCAGGAAGCAATGTTTGAGCCTTTACTTCCTAAATAATATCAATTTTCTTTTCCATCATCCCCATATAACCCATTATCGTAGTTTTCATTTCCTTTTGCATTCTCCCAAAGCACTTCAGGTCTCAGAACAGAATCCTGTTGGCAGATTTGAGGTTTCAAGCTTTAGGCTTTAGCTTTTAGAGCCTTAGGGTTTGAAACTGAATCTCAAACCTAAACCTTGCTTGTTACCGGTGGTCTGGGAATAATTTGCTTTGAATCGGTTTTTTTTTGGCCCAAAGCTGCCTCCGCCTGTAAAAAGCCATCTTTGACCCCATATTCTGCCCAAAAAGTGTGCTTTAAATCTAAGGTGTGTCATTAATAGGGAGCGCGAATTAGCACGCACAATATGCAAAATTGATCAAAGGGGGATTGCCTTCCCCAACACGTGTCCTCTCTGCAGGCTCCGCTGTAAGCTGCATCCACGCCTTCAGCAATTGCGCCAAAAAGTACAACTGTCGCACCAGATAGCCGTGACATCGCCGCCCATCGAAGCAACCTCCCAATTGAACTTGTCGACTTCTGCATGTGCAAAGGAAGTTGCAATCACATGCGCACCTTTGCCTGCGAGGTTGGCTGCCATGCACCCCAAGCATCCACATGCAACCCTTCTCAACGCAAATACTTCCACAATATGAAGGCGTTGCCGGCTATTTTCGATGCTTGCATGTGGACAGATCTGCAAGTACGTATGAATTAACTTGCTTTCAGTGCTTGGGGCTCCCTTGCGCTCGCTGCGCGGTAGCCAAGAAGGGAAGGGGAAACCGTCGCTGCAGAGCCCCAAAGTCCATGTTCAAACACTTGAAGCAGAACTTTTGAGTCCGCGAGCGCGGCCCGTAAAATAGCAAAGACGGCAAGCAGGCATGTCCTATAGTTTGCAATACAACAGGACTTCACCTGGCCGTATATGGCAACTACATGAGCAGCGGACAGAACTTCTGGTCTGGCCTATGGTCAAAAATCCCACACTTGTGCTGCAATCTCATTCCATCTCGTTTTACATACTCCGGAGCATGTTGGGGAGGACCATCTCGTTCCTACTAGGCTTGAGACCAACTGACCAAATCTACTACCATCTCATATCTCGTTTTACAACACTTGAATTGGGTCTTGGATCTCGTTTCTCAATAAATTCCTTCAAACAAAAATGCTGATCTCGTTGCTTGGGGGGACCATCTCGTTTTACAGACTACACGCATGATTTCCAGGACGATGTTAGACATGTTTCAAGAGACGGAACTTTCGTCCGTTGCTCACACGTCGTGCCGGTCGGTGCGACAATGTGAAGGTACCTATCAACCTGAAAACCTGGCTCAGCAAGATTCCTGTTGCACATCCAGAGCACAAAGTAAACACAAGACCTACATCATCTTACATCCAAGATGTGCAGTCAGATGTAGCAAATATAAATCTGCCAATATTTGCAAAAATGGAGAAATGATCCCCCATGATGTTGATGATGCTGCGCCAGGAGTGGCCAGCATCTTCAGCATTGTGCAGGCTTTTACACTGCCCGCGTGCGCTTGGCCACTATCATAGTAATATGCAAGTTTTATGGTGGTTTCCATGCTAGTTTTATGAAGGCTTGTTGGGCTTCTGGATTCATAGTGATTTTACGCAGGTTTCATGGAGCTTGGACGACGACTGTAGGGTTTATATAAGGCGCGGTTTTATGGGGTTGTCCATTGTCTTGTGCGTGTTGTGAGGGCTTTCTGACGGTTACCTCTACACCAAACCTACTCCCAAACAAACAAACTCTAACAGCAAAGTGGCACGCCTATCTTTTGCAGAAATGTCGGGCAATATCCAAAGAGCCAAAAAACACTGCGACTTCTGCAGTGACACTCTACAGCCAGAGGGCAACACAACAAAGCACAACCCCTGGCAACCAAAGCACACATAAGCATATCGCACACATGGGAAGCAAGTTTGGAGAGAGGGCAGGTCTTCATGCCAAACCCAACCGAACCAGGAACACCAATACATTAGGGCTTAGACACTTTGACAGGCTTCAAAGCTTGATCATGAGCGCACAGGGGAAGGAGTGCATCGAATGAGCGGAATGAGAACTATTCGTGCAAATGCCGCCGCTTTCGCAAAATAGCAGTAGGAGCAGACGCAGTCGCAGTGGAAGAAGAAGTGGCGGTAGCATAAGCAGTAGTAGCAGCAGCAGAGGCACTAGTAGTGGTGGTAGTGATAGTAGTGGTGGTAGTGATAGTGCTGATAGTAGTAGCAGTAGTAATAGCAGCCAGCGGCAGTTGATGTTGTTGTTGTTGTTGGTGGTGGTGGTGGTGGTGGTGGCGGCGGTGGTGGTGGTGGGGGTGGCGGCGGCGGCGGCGGCGGCGGTGGTGGTGGTGGTGGCGGCGGTGGCGCTGGTGGTGGTGGCGGCGGCG